GTTCTTTGTAACCAAATGTCTCTCAGAGGGGCGTGGGGAGGGGCTCCTTGTTTTCATCTAAAGTAACAGACAGAGAATCAGCACTTTGGAAACAGGGATGAAACAGAGGGGATTATGGGTAATGCCGCAATGATCTGTTTGGTGTTTCAGCCAATCAGAGACAGGCTCTTGATAAATCTTAGACCTGTGATATATTGATGAAAAACATTATAATTGGGGACCTTTAATTACAGAACACACACTCATGGGGTTTGGGACCATTACTGGTTGGAGTCCCCATGCAGTCATACAAAAAGTAATAATAACAATAAATAATAAAACATGAACAGTGATACTACTACAAAATTAGAGACTGCCCCAAATGATAAGCCAAATCAAAAATATAGCTCCTTAATTTACTTCTAAATTATTTGTCTATTTATTTATTGTGGTTTTTTTCTGCTGAATGACGAATTTGTTTTAAACCTTTTGAGCAAAAAATTTGGTAAATTCAAAATGGTATTTTTTCATGATTCTTTGTGGAGAAAGTTTTACAGATTTGACAGATCTCAGTTTTAAGATTAGTCGATCAACTTATTGAAAAAATAATTGATTCAAATAAGAGGCAAAGACATTGTAATAGCTATATCTAGCTATTTAGCTCTAAATGCTAACGATAGTCCCGACATCATCCATCTTTTGTGCCCTTTTTTGCATCGTATTATTTCACTTATCTCTCGTTCGTCTTCTCTCCTCCAGCTGGTGCCTAAACTGACCCGAAGCTTCATGAAGGAAGGCTTTATGGAGAAAACCGGTCCAAAGGTTTGCATACTCACTGGATCCTTAAGTTCCTGCAACGTCAAATCAGGATGTATACTATTACTAAACCTCATTGCCAAAGTTACATTTGCCTACATTCAAAAGCATCTGGAGGTCACAGTAGAGTAGTTTCGAACTTGTTGGTGACTTCTTATAATGAAGCAATACTTTTTCTTTGAATGTTTACTTTAAATAATGTTGTTCAGCTTAAATTATCATACCCTAACTATCACCAAAAAACATTATACTGGAAAAGTTAAAAAAACTGGATTGGAACTTGCAGAAAACCCTCTCAACTTTCCTAAATAATAAATTGTCTCTTCAACGTGTAATGGAGTCTCTTTCCCTGCCTCAGCACACAGAGGGCTTTAAGAAGAGGTGGTTCACCATGGACGACAGGAGACTCATGTACTTCAAAGACCCTCTGGTAAGACCTCATTATATCCCCTTTGTTTCTGTCTGATCGCTCACTTTCTTCACCAGACTTCCTCAGACTCAGGGACAGTTTCATTCCACGGCCTGTTCAACACCTGAACTTTTGAAAAAACATCCCTAACATTCATCTGGTTGCAACTTACAATTTATTTATCTAATGTATCATATTCCAATTACGTACGTCTTATTGTTGTTTTTTTATTTGAAGTGGAGCCATGAACAATGAGAAGTGCCTAAATCAATGCCAAGTTTGTTCCTATGAGTCCACTGGATACCACATCCATAAATCTGGTCGTGATGACCCTACAGCCCGTGCAGACTGGAGTCCAATGAAGTACTTTTCCCAGTACATTGACTACAAAGTCTTTGAAGATTTGGCAGCATTCACCAAAAACCAAACTAGTTTTTTATTGATCAAATATACAGCAATGTTCAGATCTATTCATTATTTATTCTTCAAACAAAGGTGAATGCACTCTTCTTTTAATATCGTTCTATAAGCATAATATCAGGGCTCAACGCTAACTTTGTAAAGTGGTTGCCAGGCTGGCAACTGCCATTTTTAGTCACCTTATATTTTAAATAATGAAGATACTATACAGTTATACATCAACTTAATAATGAACATGTGACACAAAAGAATGTTCAAATGCTTTACAATAAGTAATTAACACAATTAATTGAAACTTAAGTGTTAGTAAACGTGTCCATCCTCAATTGCTGGTATACTAAACACCAGTAGTGCAGCTGCTGTCATGTTCTTCACAGATCACTAGTTTCTTGGTCATCCGTTGTCTCCCTTTCAAATGTGGGCTTTCTTGACCTTTGTGCTGACCCCCACCATA